GTTCATACAAGTAACCAATTTTTAATATTATTGTCATCCAAATGTGTATGATTTCTGCAAGGAATGCAATTTCTCTCATTTATCAGAGTTTAATACAGTATTTAATCACTTGTTCCGTGCGTGAAACTAAGAGGGGCCTAAAATTAAAGGGTGGTGGTCGTCGCACAGCGCGTGTTCTAATTTCATGATGTACCGGTAAACAAACAATGGACTTTACAGGCGTTGTAGTACGCTATGAGTCCCGTATCGAACAGAGCGTACCGCCCTATTATTTAAATAGCAAATAGAGTCACTTATCCACATTTCGCTGTAAAAAGCAGACCTGATTTCAACATGGAATCAGACATTTTAAGGTGCAATTTGACTGGAGTGTTACTTTCTATATACTGCTTGGTATCAATATTATACAGCATTAATATTAACGCTTATATTATATATTTTTCCTCTTATTTCTAACTAGTTGCTTATATTTTATTTTCAGGTTGTAACAATGTGCTCTCAATTCTTTATTATTAGAGCTTAGTTTTATTTGTCAGTGACTCTGGGGCCTTATCAACTGCCAGTTGAGCATTTTCAAAATGGACATTATTAAAGTTATGAGTTTATAAAATCTTTGCTCAACAAAGTTTTGTTAAAAGGAAACTTAGTACAGGTTAAGTTGTTTTACGTATTACAATGACTGGTACTTTTTACCAGAGCAATAATTCGATATGGTAAGACATTTGGCAGTGACATGAAAATGTTTAATATAGAATAAAGAAATATGATTGAATAATTTACTACTGACTATTGTGTAATCTACAGTGCTATTTCATTTGCTCTGATAGCAGGTGAATTTACCGGCGAGGTCTCCCACACGTCTAACATTAAGAATAATCATCTGTGCCAGATCATGTAATGCTCTTACTCTGAAGGAACTATCTGTACTCACTGTGAATATTCTCATAATACGAATTAGGTATGTTAGAAACAGGTTGTCATTGATGTACCCATTAAGTTACTTGAATCTTGACAGCATGCAGTATTTTATATACCGGTATAAAATATATTATATTTCAAATGACAGTTGAAACAACTGGATCACTCACAATGGCTCAATGATTGAAGAAACCAAGCAAAGACTATCAAGTAAGTTGCGTTACCATATGGCCTCTATACTAAATAAAAACATTCAAGTAAATAATGTTTCATGCTCCCCATGAGGACAGCGACAGTTTACACAGACTGCAAGAAGCTAGCTGGCACTCTTCCCTACAAGATTGACAACAGTTTACACACCAATGCAAGGAGCTTGCACTCACGTGACAATAATAGCTATTTACACACTGTACCAATGCGAGAGGGTTGTACTTTCCCCAGAGAATGAGGGCTATTCACACACCACTGAAAAAAGATTATTCCCCCCCCCCCATGATGAAGACAGTTTACCTTCACTAAAATGAGGTTGTACGCTAGTTTTACAAACTACTGCAAGATGATTGTATGCCCCCCCCTATGACAACAGCAGTTACATAACACTAAAAGAGGGATGTAATCTGAGAACGATGTCTGTTCACACACCACTGCACCATGAGTTACATTCATAAATATCAACAATTGATAGTAATTTTTGTCTATATTTGCATGTAACAAGTCATTGAAAATGACACAGTCCCTGTTAAATTTGTGAAAGTTCTCTTTGTGCTCGTCATATTAAAGTGAAGGGGTTGTAGCGAGCGTGTCCTTGAAACTTGAGTCCAAAGTGGCGTATACAAAATATTGTTTATTTACATCAAATTCAAACATGTGTTGCGTGGCGACCCCTCCAGTTTAAGACATAGCAAAGAAAAACATAGATCACAAGTGAAAGCATGTCCAAGTTATCACATTTTAAACAAACAAGATGGCTGCCAGTCGGCCATATTTGATCAAATTGCAAATTGAATTGACATGTACATGTATCCATTTATGACATGCTAAATATCAATGAAAATTATACATGGGTGACAGAGATATAGTAACATGGCCAAAAATAAAAACAGCTGTTATTCGGCCATCTTTGGTCTGATTATGAAACAAAGTGACATGTATGATGTATGTGACAAATACGAATAAAAATGATACATAAATCTTGGAAATATAGTAGTAAGGCAAAAAAGTCAGATGGCTGTCAATCGGCCATCTTTGATCCGATTTTGAAACAAACTGTCATGGACATTTATCCTAACATGTATAAAATATGCAAATTTTGAATGAAAACTGACAAAGCATGTCCAAGATACCACATTTAAAAAAAAAACAAGATGCCTGCCAGTCGGCCATCTTTTATCCAATTGCAAAAAAAATTTGTCATGGACATGTATCCTAACATGTATAATCTATGTACCAAGTTTGAATGAAAACTGACAAAGCATGTCCAAAATAACAGATTTTCAAAAAACAAGATGGCTACCAGTCGGCCATATCGAATCACTAAACTACTGCTAGTGCATATGTTCCACATAAAGTACTAGGCACATGCAAAGAATGAACGAAAATTGGTCCAAAAGATTCTGAAATATGACTCTGCACGGATGCTTGCACAGACAGACTGAGGACATGTATCCTAACATGTATAATCTATGTACCAAATTTGAATGAAAACTGACAAAGCATGTCCAAAATACAACATTTTCAAAAAACAAGATGGCTGCCAGTCGACCATATTGAATCAAATCGCTAAACCACTGCATGTGCATATGTCCCACATAAAGTACTAGGAATCGGTCCGACGGATTCTGAAATATGACTCCGGACAGACGTACGGACGCACGGACAGAGACCAAATTACAAGTCCCTGTTTTCGGACTTCGTCTGAACGGGGACTAATAAACTAATAATGAAAACAATATTTAAATTGAAATAATTCTTTATTTTTATTGTATCATATTTGCAAGCAAATACATTTTACACGAACACATAGCAGTGTATAACAACAAATACTGGAAGCATTAATAAACAGCATGAATTTCTCATAATTTCTTTTGTACACATGTTGTATACATCGATATAAGAGACACATATTGAACAGGACATGAAGCAGAAACAATTGCTTTTTAAAATTCCCTGATATTTAATCCCACTATAATTCTGATATTCAATCAAATAAGCTGAGTTTGAAAATGAACGATTTTCCAGCAAACATTGAGTTCTAACACAACTTTTACATTTCTACTTATGAGAATCAGCAAAAATAAATTCAACCTCAATGAATAATTAATGCAATCAAAGAAAACATCAATGATGTAAGCATTAATTACATATTAACTCAATTAAAAAAATGTAAAAAATAAATAGTATGACAAAAATTGCATTGTAATTCATGTAAAAAGCATTGTAAACCAAGAAAAAATAAACATTTTAAGATAAAAACTAAATTTTGATTGATCAGTATTGAAAATACAAGAATTGTTAACCAAACTGCTGGTGTGAAATCCAATAGATTAATAGATTCTATTAATGATTGACCAAAATAAATAATTTGTAATAAATGTATATTGTGTGCATTTATTCAAATGATGAATGAAAAGTAAATGCTGATGCACTCCTCCATGTTTTCAAATGACTCCTACCCCTAAAGTACAACAGGTTATTCCAAAAACTGGGAATTCAGATTATTGAGGTTAGACTGTACATACAGTACAATTTAAGCTCAGCCTAGGGGGTTCAGATTATTG